GTATTATTGACTTGATTTACCACCAGTTAGGAGTCGCACTTGGCCTCGGTGACCTCCGCTCCCAAGCTTTTAGCTAGCTCAAGACCTGCAATCATGGTCTCATACTCGACCTCATTGTTAGTTAATTTCGAAATTTTGATAGACTGTCTAATTGTATTACCTGTGGGTGGCTTCAAAACGATGCCTAGCCCGAACCCCTTCACGTTCGAAGCGCCGTCTGTGAAGAGGGTCCACACCCCCGATGACGTACCCCATGAACAAGAATATAAGTTAGACAGAAAGTATTATATTGCTTTGATATGCGTGAATGTAACTATGTAAGGTCCCTACAATATGATTTGAACCCTCTTTATATAGTAGAGAAATCCTATCTATGGTACAATTCTAATTACGGAAGTAAATCCCATGATTAGCCTAACCAACCGCCCTTGATTTGGTCTGTTCCGAGATTATCACCATGATCTTCGACCAGTCGCGGATATCTCGCCTTTCCGTTATTATGCAGTCATCGATCTTGCCCGCTGTCTGTCCCATTTGGCCTCGATCACTACTGGCTTCGATCTCAACAGGCATCTCGAATTCCGAACTCGGTACCCAGTCTTCGTGCCTCGGTGCGCAGTCTTCGATCCTTCACCCCGGCAAATCAGTAAAATCAGGTGGGCCCGATTTTAGCCGTATACAGAGAGATCACTTGATTGCGGAAAATGTGCTTCTTTTTTGTGTTTCTTTCATATTATTTGGTTTTTATTCCTTTATCTGAGTCGATGTTAAAATTTGATCTCTGGCATGGAAAGAAAACAAGAAAACGGTTCGTTTAAAATTCATTTTTCATAAATCTTTTCATGTTGAAGAGTGTACGTCAAATGTTACTGTGAATTGAATTTGATTTAGAGTTTCTAACTAATGATTATTATATTATTACTATTTACTCATGGTCGAAATTTTTATTAACCAAATATGCAATTTCCTTCATTTCCCTTAAATCTTTTGCTCCTTCATTGTTTTCAATCTTTGAAGCAGATAATGAGAAAATTTACCATGTCCAAAAACAAGACAGTACACACACAAAATTATATATTCCAAGTCACCTCAAATAGATTACTAGCCATAACTTACTACAAACAACACAGAATGCAAATCTCAAACATTATTAGAGTAACATTTCACCCTGGGGACAGGGGAGTTAGTTATTTGACAGGCTTACACAAGACTCTGGTTATTACTAAGACATAGGGAAAATATACTTAGGCATAGTCGCAAAACCCAAATGAACACTTCTGTCCAGGAGAGCAAACATTAGAACACTTGCCACAATTGCCATTGTCTTTCTGAATGTCCACACAGATCCCGCCACAGCATCTCGTTCCGAGGTTACAGACAAGACCACAGGAGCCACAGTTGAACCTGTTGGTCGATAAATCGACACAACTATAGTTGAAACAACATGTATTGCGTTCCGATAATCTCTTGCAAGTTTTGCAGATCAAGTTGTAGTCGGTAGAATTTGTCGAGTTTTCTCCTAGCTTTCTGGGAGGAGGAAATGCAACTTTTCGCACAGAAAGAGCAACATCGGTGTAAGAGTTTGTAGTTGCATTTCTATAGTTTGTCTCAGGTACAGACATTATGGTAATTGGTGTGCTAGAAAGAGCGAGGATGACAATGAGAATGTTAATAAAAGCCATAATTTGACACTGGAGGTTTATGCTGAGGTTCTACAAGGTTTTATAGCTATACAAGATGTTACCAGAACATAATGTCAAATGCCAAAATCTAGAGTCCATGCACAAGAATCTGAAACAACATGACTTGTTTTTTCGATCATAACTAGAACCCCAAGAATTTGGGGGGTGATCTGCAATAAGTCAAAGTTGTATTTACCAACTGTCTATTATAGTTGCCTGTAAGTTGGTGAGGAACATAAATGGAGCTTTGATAAAATGTCAAAACCTATGCAGCTTAGAGTTTGAACTTGTTAGTCACAGTCATAGGGGTGTTCATAAAAATCCGAAAACCGAACCAAACCGACCAAAAAAACCGATACTTTTTAGGTTTGGTTTGGTGTTGGTTTTGAATTTTAAAAACCGATCAAAATTGATTTGGTTTTGGTTTTAATAAAAAATAACCGAAAAAAACCCGAACCAAACCGATTATAAAAGTAGCTATTTAAATTTATTATTACACCTATATATACGTATATTTTTATATAAAGTTTCTAAAAGTAGTACATATTGGTCATTTATATTTTTAGTCTAGTTTTTTGCTATTATAATCATCTAATTCTTTGCCTTTACATTCTAGTTTGCTTGGTAGTTTTCTTTTTCTAAGTAAAATAATTTATTTCATGTTAAAAATAATTGATTTTTAATTGAGTACTTAAATTATTCATCACTATTTGATTCAATTATCATCAATATATCTTGGTAAATAATAGATTTCTCAAAGAGCAATTGATTTGATAGTGTTACGATGAAAATGTAGTCGCCGGAATATGCGTTTGGTAGTGTATGTCTCATATTTAAGAAAAAAACCGAAAAACCGAAAAAACCCGACAAAAACCGAATCAATAAAAAAACCAACTTAATTGGTTTGGTTTGGTTCTAATATTTGAAAACCCGACTTACTTGGTTTGGTTTCTTTTTAGGGAAAAACCGACCCAAACCGAACCATGAACACCCCTAGTTTGATCCGTCACTATATATGTATATCACGACCTTATGTCTTTTTTCCCCTTTTATTTTTTTCTAATTTAGTTTGTTACGTACTTGGGCCATTGCCTACGTTAACGTCTTTTTAAAAAGAATGCATCAACGAAATAATGGAAGCTCTCATTATTAATTAATTAGTCCTAACAAGATCTTGATAAGAACGTTATATGCTGATCATACATTGACTTTGAGACTTATTTAGAAGCATTCTCTATTCAAAAAATGTAGAGATCTTTTCTTTATGCGATCTTTACCTATATTTATATAATCAGACCTCTTTATAATAGTCATTTTCTATTATAATACTTCACTATAATGGGTAATTTTTTTTAATCAATATTTCATATTACGTTGTAATATATGTTCTTTATAACAACACTTCATTGTAACAACCAAAAGATATCAGAGCAAATTAAACGAGGCTGTTCTTGTGATAACCCAAAGGGTCATCTTTTGTTTTAGAATCTGATTCCGCATTTCAAGGCCTTAAAAACCTCCATTTATTCTCGTCGATTTACGTGTGCTGTCCAGGCGCGTATCTGGAAATTTTTTATGTGAAAAATTTAAGAAAAGATAATTTTTGGCTTAAAAAGATGATTTTAGTTGACATCGGTCAACGTTTTGGGTATACGGACACGGACCCGTGTTCCGACGGTCCCGAAGGGACCGTAGTAAAATATGGGACTTGGGCGTATGCCCGAAATTGGATTCCGAGGTCCCTAACCCGAGAAATAAATTTTTGAAGAAAATAATTAACTGAAAAATATGATGGTTTTTAGAAATTTAAGAATGTTTGATATTGTCGGTATCGGACTCGTATTTTGGTTCCGAATTTCGGTATAGGTCCGTTATAATATTTAAACCTTATCTGTGAAATTTGGTGAAAAATGAAAGTAATTTGACGTGATTCGGACCATTAGTTGAGAAAATAGGAAGTTTGAACTATCTTGAAAATTTCATGCGTTTTGGTGTTGAATTCATAGTTCTAGGTGTTATTATGGCGATTTGATCGCATGAGCAAGTTCGTGTGATTTTTTAAGACTCGTGTGCATGTTTGNTTGCTATTATAATCATCTAATTCTTTGCCTTTACATTCTAGTTTGCTTGGTAGTTTTCTTTTTCTAAGTAAAATAATTTATTTCATGTTAAAAATAATTGATTTTTAATTGAGTATTTAAATTATTCATCACTATTTGATTCAATTATCATCAATATATCTTGGTAAATGATAGATTTCTCAAAAAGCAATTGATTTGATAGTGTTACGATGAAAATATAGTCGCCGGAATATGCGTTTGGTAGTGTATGTCTCATATTTAAGAAAAAAACCGAAAAACCGGAAAAAAACCGACAAAAACCGAATCGATAAAAAACCGACTTAATTGGTTTGGTTTGGTTCTAATATTTGAAAACCCGACTTACTTGGTTTGGTTTCTTTTTAGGGAAAAACCGACCCAAACTGAACCATGAACACCCCTAGTCACAGATCTTGGATTTACAATTCCAGCCCAAAACTATTTGTTGGAGTTACTTAGGAGCTTTGCTAACAAGAATGTACAAAATAAGGATAATTAACACTGAAAACAGAGATTATGCACAATTCTGATTGTCTTTTTATTGTTTAGGAGATCTTACTGCATGTTACAAACAAAATCATTAATTTGAGTTAAAAATAGTGTTAATCACACAATTTCATAGAGAAAATTATACTTTAAAAATGTTGAAAATAATAGCCAAAGGTGAAACTGTTTGACTCGGCAAATAATAAGAACACCATTGGTTGATTTGTTGAGGTTTGTTTCAAGAAGATCTTGACCATGTTGATGGACATTCATACCAATTACTTAAGGGAGCTTTGGAAATAAACTGGAATTGAAAAAAACTTAAACTGGTAGGGGAAATATTGTTGTTTTCCGTACCAAAAAGTAAGTTTTTAAAAGAAGGGAGATGTTGTTTCCTTGAGGCCTATATTAGCTGATCTACAACAACAACAACAAAATACCCGGTGTAATCTCACAGGTGGGGTATGTACGCAGTCTTACCCCTACCTAGTGAAGGTAGAGAGGATGTTTCCAATAGACTCTCGGCTCAGGAAAAGCAAATAGTCGGAAAAAAATACAGTAACGGATAAACCACGAAAAGGAAACAGAAGGCTGTATTACATTAGTTGATCTAATCCCAGAAAAAGAATAACTAAAGAAGGCCATAGTGACACTAACTCAATTTTGCACCTAGCGGTAGACTTTTGATTGTTAGTTGAAAAGCTCAAACCAGAATTAGTAAGCGAAAAGAAGAAAATGACAAACGAGATATTTTAGTTGAACTTGATTGTGACAAAGATAGCGCTTGCATATTTGCATCATGCTCCCTATATGAACAGCTATGCTCCAATTATATTGAATGAATCAGTCAGTTACAAAGAAGAAAATCCAAATAGAACTAAAATGGCGAGTTGTTGCATCGTCTGAACTGATATCAGGAGACGGAATGAGTTTCTTTTTCTTGGTGCTGCAATCGCTTGGAATTATGAGAAGTATCCCTTGAATATTGAATCACTGATCTAAAGCAAAAAGATTACCAATACGAAAGTCACCAATAAGATGTACAGCAAAATATTTTTGTAGCTTCAGTCCTTCCTATGTTCGAGTACTCAGAACAACATGAATAGGTTGAATCCTTCACCATTTTGGTCCTCGATAAGCTTTCAAAGTATGTTTTCACTGCTAGAAGACTCCTTCCTATCATCTTGACGCCTATTCAGTATTCACATGGTTGAGCTACTCAACAGACAAGGATTCAATTAACCATCATGAAAACTGACGGGCAGCATTGTGATTCTTGTTTCGAACAATTGTGGTTCAAGTGATAGGATTCCGTTTCAACCACCTTGGCATTACAGTTAACATGATGATGTAGGTCCAATGCGCATTATATATGTGTGGTGAAAATCAAGCGATAATACTCTTCAGTCCTCGGACAGCTTCTGGACTATCTGTACTAGCTAGATCCACTAACACAGATTGTTATATAAGCCCTCTAGCTGCTTTAGGTGAATCCAAATGTTATCCCCTAAATATGAGGATCATAAATCTTCTCGACTTATTCGTTGCTGTTGCTGTTAGCTTCTCTGTACTTATTTCTCCACACAGATCTCACCCGCACATATATTATTACCATAACTCACAATCATATTCAGTGTTTTCCTTTTCCTTCTTAGCATCTGCAAACATGTACAACTTGGGGCAAGGGAATTAAAGGCCTCTAAGTTCAGAATTGTTATATACTCAAGAATGAACCTTCACCAAGAAAGTCTCAAGAATTGTTATATACTCAAGAATGAACCTTCACCAAGAAAGTCTCAAGAATTGTTATATGCTAAAATAACTTGTACTCAAGAAAGTCAGATACATTCTACTCGAGGATGAAATTTCACCAAAATTGATATATTCAATGTCATAACATCTCTTTCTTTCTTTTTCTCTTATCAAATTACAGCAACATGGAAGTAAGAGAATAAAATAACACAAGATTACATATCAAAAGCAGCAGCTTGACACAGTAAGAAAAAACCGTTAGAGAGATATGTTAATGACATAAAGAATGTAGTTACTATGTCTTACCATGGATGAAAGAATATAATGAATCAATGCTAGTTAGAGAAGCCAAAGCAAAATCTTTGCCTTGTTCTAACAAGTAAGAATGAACTTCCATATGAAGTGCATGACAACATTACCTAATACGTATCACTTATTAGACGCTTGTGCCGGTTGTAATGTTTCTCAATGAAGACTTTGGAAGCTCCTTCAACAGTTCTGCGCCATGTCTGTGCATATAAAAAGAGAAACAAAATGGCGATTTAGAACAAATCCATCAGTTTAACTTTACAATTGCAGATGTGAATAGGTAAAACTAACTGATGAAATAAGGATTCTCTTATGCACAAGAAGATTATTAAGCTCTGTAGGCACGTACTGACAATTGTCTCATGTAAACTCTGCCGAATACAAGTGATTCGAAACCTTGGAAGAATGAGACTTATCGGTATTACAACAACAACGACAACAATCCCAGTATAATCCCACATGTGGGGTGTGGGGAGGGTAGTGTGTACGTAGACCTTACCCCTGCCTAGAAGGTAGAGCTGTTTCCGATAGACCTTCGGCTCAAGGCAAGATGAAAATAAAGCATTAGCACAAGCATTAACAACAACAACAACAACAAGAAGATAACAAGAAAACGAAGCAAAGGGGACAACACGTAAAACTATAAATCTAACAATAGTATTGCACCAGACTAAGACTAATACTACTGGTATGTAGAAGAAACACTTACGACTACCTACTGGTCTACCTTAATTCTCAAGGTATCGGTATTCTTCAGTATATTCTACAGAATGATAATGCACATTTGACGTATGGTTTCAAGGCCTTTGGTGTCATTGATTAGCAAAATGACAATGAGTATAGCTTTAATCTTATAAGCCTTATTTTCTTTCTTTCTGCAGTCTCTACACCTACATCATCTGGGCAAAACAGGACATTTTTGTGATACGGTATCATTCTTTCCATGATAATGTACTACACCGAGCCAATCAGAGGCAAATTTAGGATTTAATATATGTGGACTCAACTATTAAGGTTCTTAGTATTGAACCCTTTATATTTATCAAATCATGGGTTCATATCTACTTATTTATTGCCATATTAATATATTTTTTACATATAATTTATACTCCACATCGAAAGTGTTGGGTTCAGATGGATCACGAGTTGAATGTAATGCAGGAGCACAGGCCATATACTGAATGTGCTGAATAATCTTCTATTGGATTGACAAACCTACACCTTTTATGCTGATGCAGATAAGGTTGAGTTCATGAGTAGCTAATAGCTTTCACATCTATTTCGAATGTCTCCCTCTCTATACAACAAATCTAAATTACTTTCTTTTCGACGTAGTTAATATATCATATTTAAATGCAATGCTAATAATTGCCAATTCTCCTTCTAATTCAACAATTCCACAGCAAGTGGTGGATGTAGAGTGTTAGTTATCAATTAGTTCATCCAAATCTAGTAACTTTGACTCGGACCATGTATACGTATTAAAAGAACTTGATTTCGGATCTAGTAAATCAAATAAGTTGTGGCAGAATTCCGAACTCTGCACTCATAAAATTGAAATTTTGGATTCGCCTTTTTGTTTCCCTAACCATGTATATCTCTACTTAAATTATCAATTTCCAATTCTTATCACATAAATAAAGCAACCAAATTTTAGTTTGCCCTAGTAGTCAATCTTCTCCCATCTACCCCTAGAATCAAGACAGGGCAAGACAATCCTCACCAAAATACCATAAATTTAGTGAAGAATCTAAGAACTTCAAAGTCCTCTAGCTAAATAAAAGACAAAAGGGGTACCAAAAAAGACAATAAGTGTATCATTAAATTATTAAATTTAACTTATATAAACTACATTTGTTAACTTTTTGTAACAGGTGACCAGATTTATTTATCAAATTAATAATCTCACCTTTAAATTACCTAAAATTATTTTTAAGTGACCTGAATAATGTAAATATTCTTTCTACATTGATAGCATAAAAGAATTAATACTACTAGTACATTTTCCAATATATAAACTAGGACAACAAAAGTATTAGAATGTAATCTAACCTTCTCAATAGTACCCAAAAAGGATCTGTTCTTGAAATCCTTAGCTCTAATCTTAGCTTTTCCAATACCTAAACGCCGAATCAACGCCACGGATCGTTGAGAACCAGCAGGAGGTAGAAGGGACTTCCTCTCACCCAAAACAGCAGCAGCAGCAGTAGTAGTAGTAGTGCTGCTCCCATTGGCAATGGGTTGTATTCTTTTCCTGCGTTTAGCTAACCTGAGTTCCTTCTTAGCTAAAGCTTTATCTTCTGATTCAGAACCCATCTCAGCAAACTTCCTTAAAAGCTGATCTGATGATGCTTTTGTTACATGCTGAACTGTAGCTGTAGCAGCAGCAGCATTTTCCTTTGTTTCCATTTTTTATGCTTATAGAAAAAAGAGGCAAATAAAACTGATAGGAAAATAGACAACAATTGAAGAAAACCAAGAATCAAGAAAATGAAAGAGAGAGATTATTTGGAGATTTGTTTTCAGTACGAAAGTGATGTGAATTGTGGAAGACGAGGTTGTCTGAAAGGCTTAATATGTGGGAAGAATGGACCGTTGGAATTAATGGGCGGTGGAGAAAGAGAATAATGGATTTGAATAATAATGTAAGAAGGTGGGAAGTAGCCGTTGGGATAAGTAAAACCTATACTTTAACATTTTTTAAACTACTAGTGAAGTTATTAAACATTGGTGTATTTGTTTTGCTTAACCAGATATAAGTTGACTGGTCAATAAGTTGCGACAAATGGATAATATTTCCAACCATGTGTGTCCTTTGAAGTTAAACTAAATGTAAAAAGAGAAGTGTGACCTTGGAAAAGAAAACTATATCCGTGAACCCAAAAGAAAAAAGAATTTATGCCACCATCATAAGATTATTTATCTTACTTAAAAGGTGGGATAGATAGTTGCAATTATAAGCAACAACAACAATAACAAACTTAGAGTATGTTTTCACGAAGACTTGTGATTAACTATCAACTAAATTAAATTCAAACAATTAATCTATTCAAGCGATTTTCTAAAGTATAATTAGTTACAAAACTAATCTACAATAGTAAACTAAGAAATTAAAGAAAACAAATCGGGTAGCTTAGAGATTGAATTCAATGAGAGAAAATATTACAGAGCTAAAGATCAGGTAATAATCTAGTTTAGTCTTTCACTTAAATTATCTAATTAATTTATCTGATTTATTGGTTGACAGGGTTAATATTACTCGTACAATTCTCTCGAAGTACTACTCGTCTGTTCAAGCTAACCTAACGCCTATATTTCTATGAAACTAGGATTAACAAGAATGCATTAATAATTCATGGACAGTAACCAAGCAAGACGATTAGGTATAAGTCTATCCTAACTGCAAATCCATTCCCGATGCTTAGTTTCAAGATCTTGCCCTACTCAATTCTATTGCAGTCTAGAATTCCCTCTCATGAGTTCAATCCTAGATTTGTAGATAGTATGCAATTGGTAATCAAATAATTAAGCACAAGATTGAATAAATAAACCAATATGATAAAATAACATGAACAATCCAAGCTTTAAACTACAACGTTCATGTAGTTCCCATAACCTTAGAACTAATAAACTATAAAATTAAAGAAAGAAAAGAGAAGAAAAGATCGGTGTTGCTCGCTCTAAGTACTGCGGCTGCGATCTTTTCCTCTTTCAACAATTAGTCCCCTCAAAATCTGAGTTATAGTGTTTACCACAAAATAACCTACTGATGACACAACCTCAAAGACTGACTCCTTGCCACAAAATATACCCGGGCTATCTTGCTTACTCTGGTCGAAAAGTTTAATACTTCACCTAAACATGTGTCCTCACCACAATTGCAATGACCCGATCGATTATTTTAAGTATTTTAACCCTGATTTCCCTATTTGATACTTTACATATGTTTAATTGTGGTTACATGACTTGCGGAAACGATTGGTTTGGTTTCGAGAGAGTTTTGGATTGATTTGGAACACTTAGTCCCTTGGTTGGAGGCTTAAGTTGTAAGAGTTGACCGGAGTTTGACTTTCGTGTAGATGACTCCAGAATGGTGTTTGGATGGTTCCAATAGCTTAGACTGGTGATTTAGACTTTGGCGTATGTCTGGAATTGGATTTGGAGGTTCTTAGGTTGATTTGGTTCTATTTGGTGAAAGTTGGAAAGTTGAAGGTTTGGAAGGTTGATAGGTTTGATCAAGAGTTGACTTTGATGATATCGGATTCGGATTATGGTTTCGTGAGCGGGAATAGGTCTATTGTGTCATTTGCGACTTGCATGCAAAACTTGAGGTTATTCCAAGTCATTTAGGCATATTGTCACGATCCAAATTTCTCACCGTCGGGATCATGATGGCGCCTAACTTTTCAGATGCTAGGCAAGCTAACAGATAAAGATATAATACGCTAACCACTAACAAATTCAGTAAAAAACATCAATTAAACCAAAACAGATCAAAGGAGTGCAGAATTTCATAATAACCCAAGTACTTATACACGACTACCCAGAACCCGGTGTCACAATTCACGAACTTCTAAGAGTCACTACAAATATTGGCTGAAAAAATTAAAAGAAACAGAAAACTAGAATAACTAGAAGGGGACTCCAGGGCCTGCGAATGCCGGCAGATCTACCTTGGGTCTCCTGTTGGATTGAAGGCAGCATCTCAAGTCTGGTCAACACGGTCCAGTACTGAAATCTGCACAGAAAGTGCAGAGTGCAGTATCAGTACAACCGACCCCATGTACTGGTAAGTGCCGAGCCTAACCCCGGGGAAGTAGTGACGAGGCTAGGACAAGACACATACATAAACCTGTGCAGATAAACAATATACTAGCATAATACAACTAATAGAAGCTAAGCAGAAATTAACGGGAGGGGGAAACATGCTAAGCGGGTACCAAAATAAAGAATCACAGTAATAGAGGAATTTAGACAGTCACTTTGAACCGGTAATAACAAGTAAACACAGCAAACGGAAAATGCACGGCATCACCCTTCGTGCTTTTACTCTCAACCTCACCAGATAATCTATAATAGAAACGTACACAGCATCACCCTTCGTGCTTTATCACTCAACCTCACCATATAATTAATAGAAAGTGCACGGCATCACCTTTCGTGCTTTATCACTCAACCCTACCATGTAAGTAATAGAAACAGGCACGGCATCACCGTTCGTGCTTTATCACTCTTCCTCACCAAAATAAGAGACACCAATAATAGGGAGATAGAAATGACAACAACAAGTCTTGCTTCAACACTTAGTTCCACCATACCAATCTCAACTTTGAGTAAACGTTCAACTAATACCAATTTCAATAAAACATGATAAGAATTTGCTCAACACATCGAATAGCTAGTCTAAACATGAACAATATGATCAAAATATACGACATCTTCAAGGATAAGACTCACACACATGCTATGACTCGACAACAACGTTTAGGTACTCGTCACCTCACCTATACGTTGTACCCAACATCCAAACACGTAACAAGTGAGCAAATAATACCTAATCTCTCAAGCTAAGGTTAGCCACAACACTTACCTCGCTCTCATAGCCAAACCCAAAGCTCAATTACCGCTTTTCCCTTCACACAAGCCTCCGGACCAACAAAATCTAGCAAATCACCAACCAAACAATTTAATTTAAGCCTTAGGAACTACCCATGATAGCAAGGAATTCAATTTAGGCCATTTTGAAAAAGTCAACACCCGGGCCCACTTTGTCCAAACCCGAATTTTGGACCAAAAACCGATTACCCATTCACCCCCGAGCCCGAATATACATTTGGTTTCGAAATCCAACCTCAATTTGCAGTCTAAATCCCCAAATTTTGAAATCCCTAGTTTCTACCCAAAAATCCCCAATTCCACCATGAAAATCCTAGATTCTAGGTTGAAATCTTGTTAAAAGAAGTGAAAGATTGAAAGAAATGAGTTAAGAATCACTTACCTATGATTTGGGGAAGAAATGGTCTTTGGAAAATCGCCTCTTGATGTTTAGGTTTTGAAGATTTAGGAAATGAATCAAAAATCCCGTCTAAGTCCCTTTTACACAGCTGCAGATGTAGCATTTGCGACCTGAGTTTCGCAAATGCGAAGGTGCTATCGCAATCGCGAAGCCCTTCATAGTCCTGCTGCCTTCGCAAATTCGAGGAAAGTGTCGCAATTGCGATCACTGAACCTCGTAAATGCGAGTAAAAGATTGCATTTGCAGTCCTTGCCCCTCCCAGACTCCCTTCGCAATTGCGAAGGTAACCTCGCAAATGGGAGAACTACTGGCCCAGCTGATCTTCGCATTTGCGATGAAAACCTCACAAATGCAGAACCTACAGGGTTCGCAATTTGCGATGCCTGATCTCGCAAATGCGAGATCAAAGACCTGCAACAAGTTCAGCTATACCAGCAAATTTTCTTAAGTTCAAGTCACTCTGTAGCCTATCCGAAACTCACCTGAGCCCTCGGGGCTCCAAACCAAACATGCACACAAGTCTTAAGACATCATACGAACTTGCTCGTGTGATCAAATCGCCAAAATAACACCTAGAATTACAAATTTAGCACCAAATCACATGAAATTCTTAAGAACACTTTGAAAGTCCTGTTTTCTCAACCGGATGCCCGAATCACGTCAAATCAACTCCGATTTCCACAAAATTTCATAGACATGAGTTAAATATTATATTAAACCTGTATCGGGCTCCGGAACTAAAATACGGGCCCGATACCAACGAGATCAAGCATCAATCAAATTCTTTAAACCATTTGATTTTCAGTTTTACAATTTTCATCAAAAATTCTTTTCTCGGGCTCGGGACCTCGAAATTCAATTTCGGGCATGCGCCCAAGTCCCATATTTCGATACGGACCCACCAGGACTGTCATAACACGAGTCCGAGTCCGTTTACTCAAAATATTGACTGAAGTCAACTAAATTAACTTTTAAACATTAAAAAAATGGTTTTTATCAATTTTCCACAAAAAAGCTTTCCGGATACGCGTCCGGACTGTGCATGCAAATCGAGAAGGAATAAAATGAGGTTTTGAAGGCCTCGGAACACAGAATCGAGCTCTTAAACATAAGATAACCTTTTGGGTCATCACATTCTCCACTTCTTAAACAATCATTCGTCCTCGAACGGACGTAGAAAAGTACCTGAGCTGGTGAAAAGGTTGGGATATCTACTCCGCATATCGGACTCGGACTCCTAGGTAGCTGCCTCAACAGGCTGACCTCTCCACTGCACTCGAACCGAAGGATAACTCTTCGATCTCAACTGACGAACCCGCCGGTCTAAAATGGCTACCGGCTCCTCCTCGTAGGTCAACTCTGTGTCCAACTGAACAGTGCTGAAATCTAACACGTGGGATGGATTGCCGTGATACTTCCGAAGCATGGACACATGGAATACTGGATGTACCGCTAATAAGCCTGGGGCAATGCAAGTCTGTAGGCCACCTCTACCACTCGATCAAGGATCTCAAAAGGCCCAATGAACCTAGGTCTTAGCTTGCCCTTCTTTCCAAACCTCATTACGCCTTTCAAAGGCAATTCCCGAAGCAACACTTTCTCCCCGACCATGAATGCCATATCACGAACCTTACGATCGGCATGACTCTTTTGCCTGGACTGAGCTGTACGAAGTCTATCCTAAATGATCTTAACCTTATCCAAGGCATCCTGTACCAAATCTGTACCCAATAACCGAGCCTCCCCCGGCTCAAACCATCCAACCGGCGATCGACACCGCCTGGCGTATAATGCCTCATAGGGAGCCATCTGGATGCTCGACTGATAGTTTTTGTTGTAGGCAAACTCTGCTAACGGCAAGAACTGATCCCAAGAACCTCCAAAGTCAATAACACAGGCGCGGAGCATATCCTCCAAGATTTGAATGGTACGCTCGGACTGTCTGTCCATCTGAGGATGAAATGATGTGCTCAACTCGACCTGCGTACCCAACTCATGTTGTACTACCCTCCAGAAATGCGAGGTAAACTGCGTACCTCGATCGGAAATGATAGACACGGGCACACCATGAAGACGAATGATCTCACGGATATAAATCTCTGCCAACCGCTCCGAGGAATAGGAAACTGCCATAGGAATGAAATGCGTTGACTTATTCAGCCTATCCACAATAACCCAAACTGCGTCGAACTTCCTCTGAGTCCGTGGGAGTCCAACAACGAAATCAATAGTGATACGCTCCCACTTCCACTAGGAATCTCTAGCTTCTGAAGTAAACCATTAGGTCTCTGATGCTCGTACTTTACTTGCTGACAATTTAGACACCGAGCTACGTATGCAACAATATCCTTCTTTATCCTCCTCCACCAATAATGCTACCGCAAGTCCTGATACATCTTGGCGGCGCCCGGATGAATAGAATACAGGGAACTGTGGGCCTCCTCTAGAATCAACTCATGAAGCCCATCACATTAGGCACACAAACACAACTAGTTTAGCAAAAAAGATTTATTGAGTGCCTCCGCTTAATAGCTAAACTATTGCTTATGAGAACAAAGTCATCTATATCAGTTTGATGTAGATTATATATGAAAGTATATTACATTCTCCCCTCACAAGTGGTTCAGGGTTAGGAACCAAATAATTCCATCTTATTATTGATCTGCGATGTATATTTTAATTGACATCATAACGCACAAAGGTGGGTTTTCAAAGTTGAGGAAGCAGATTAGTTTTTCTAACACAAGGGGGAGAAAGGATAAACAGTTGAGAAAAAGTTACATGGAATGAATTATCTTTTGTACATCTAGATCCTTGAATAAGATAATATGAACTTGAAATTCATAAAAAGATAATTCATCTGCAGTATATTGCAAAGCATGTCGGACGCATTTGCTGACCCAAAGAAAGTAACTATATGCTCACTATAAATGCTCCTATTAGAATAAGTCTTAGAAGGACAAAGCCTATGGTATGCTTAAAGCGTATAGACAAATCAGTTTCAAATAAAATTCTTGACAAAGAAGATGAGAAAATGATCAAAATGATCATAATAAGGAGTTAAGTGATCTAGAAGATCTCATGACATAATACTTCATAAAATCTCAAGAGAGGTTCAGGTACCTGAAAATATGAATGAAGAGATCCCTATGTTATGTCTTTAAGAAAATATGTTGGAACCGACATAAAATGTTCGTCGACAACATCTATGATAGCACTAAATATAGATGAGCATATTAAGTTTGTTGAATACAAACACAAAAATATTGGCCAAATGAAAGAGACACAATTTGAATAGAATTGGTTTCATATGAAAGACATGTAGTTTTGGACATGCAGTTCAAACACTCAAAAGTATAAAGTCAATGGTGTGTGTGCAATCACTTTCATGTATCTTATAAGTCTAGCATGACATGAAAAAATTGATATGCATCTAAAGTCTATTTATATGGATTATTTGACTATACTTATATGACAATCCATTTATAATTTAAAATGCTTATAGCATATATAATTCTTGGAGAATTTCTTGCTCCCAAATTACCACATCCTAAATGTAATTTGTGCACATATATATCTTGCTATAACTATATGCATGATAATATGATAGCAAGAGTTTTTGCCTCTATGTGATGATAATGAAATGACGATTCCAACAAGATCATATGAAGACAATACATCTCTATCAGGAATGATGATTTCAAAGTGCAACATATTCATTCAAGTTAATATGTCTGATTTGTTTATCAAATCTCTATCAACAATCTTTTGAAGATGGTACACAAGATTGGAATGTGAAGGCTCAAAGATATGAATTAATTGTCTCATCATGGGGAGTTAATACGCGTTGTACTCTTTTTCCCTTACAAGGTTTTGTCCCACTGGGTTTTCCTTGCAAGGTTTTTAACGAGACAACCAAAAGGCGTATTTCTAAACATGTGTACTCTTTTTCCTTCTCTAGAATTTTTTTTCCCACTGGGTTTTATTTTAGTTAAGGTTTTAACGAGGCACATTATCTGTTGAATAGACATTCAAAGGAGAGTGTTATAAATAGAATTTTATATATGGTGAATGTCTATATTTTAGAGAAATCTTAAGGTTTGTTACTTGGTGGTTAAGCCACTTTTCCTTATAAATAGAGGGGTTTTATTCCATTGTAATTCATCCCAAATCAATACCGTCTAACCACATTGTATAGTTCGTATTGAATACAGAATACTCGGAAGACTAATTGAGAAAAAACAAGAATAGAAGGAAAAGATGGTTAAGAAGTAGCCAGGGTGATGGATGAACATGAAACGAAGTATATACACCTGCTATTTGTTCACTTTACTAGTTCTTGATGCTATTAAGTAGTGGCAAAAAAAAACCAGTGTAGATAAGTACCTACGCTGAGTACTTGCGCGCGTTGGGCTCACTGCTCCGAAGAAAAACTTAAGACCACTGGAACGTGTTCATTAGCGACAATGTCCCCTTTATTATGATATTTCTAAACAAACTCTTGGATTACAAGTCTAAAGGTTTTCTTTTGGATGAGATCGTAATTGATATTAAAATTGATTATACTAGCAATCTTGATGCAAGTAAGTAATGACAATATCAATCGTGTCTTTGTTACGAAGCTGGAACTACTAACCAGGACAAACGGACTATGATATGATGACAGAAATATGTATTTTCTCCCACATCTTGTAAATCAAACAGGGTAAAGAGTTGTTCTGCAAATTGAAAGTTGAAACACAAATTCTTTGAACAATTACAGAAATTTTCCAAAGCTAAACTGTCTAAAGATACAGGACAACCGTTCTATAAATCTAAAGTCTAATGGATGTCTTTTGCACAGCAAACTTCTGCCTGACATCGTACATCTTCTGCGTTAAATCGGCTAGATCCAAATACCCCGTAGTAAAAAAAAAAAAAACTCGAAAAACGATACAAAGAAACTAAAGATTTTTACGGCTTACCTGCCCCGTAATCTACTATTAAAAAACGTGAAAACGTCTACCCCCTAAAAAGGGGTTTCACCGTAAATCGGGGTACAAAACTTGGAAAACGGGCTAAACGGAACTTTTTACGAAAAACTACTACGGTTTTACGAAAAAGTTCCCCCCTTTTAAACGTTTTACCGACGTAAAAACTACCGTAACGTAAAACGTAAACGGGGGTAAAAAACGTAAGGTAACTTTTTTAAGTTTTTTTTTTACGTTTTTTTAAACCGTTTTTTTCGGGGTTTTTTTTTTTTTTAGGGGGGGTCGGGGGGGGGGGGGGGTTTGGGGGTTGATTGATTACTTAGAAAGATAAAAATCCCGTCCTTTAAGCTTAATTTGAGATGCCATTCAAACATAAGCTAACTGAACAAACAAGCAAATATCAACCAATCCTACTTTCTTAGACACATTTCATTTCTTTCATCATTAGAGTGTGGTCTGTAAACCCCCGTAAAACACCATCTGAAATCTTCCACCAACATTAGAGTGTGGTCTCTCACCCTCATCCATGTGTCCATTTACTCTCTTTTTTTTTCATTTCTTCTGTTCTTCATGCATCCTCTTCCCCTTCTTTCTCTAATTATTACTTTTATATATTTATTCTTTTCATTTTTCATTCCTATTCTTTTCCACATGTCATCACTGGTCTAGCAGCAAGCATTTTCCGGGGTGCTAACTTGCACAAATTTTCTACATGAGTTTTCGAGTACCTTGAGAAACAGCAATGTGTATTTGCATTTCCGTATCATGGATGACATGAAGGTCTTTGTCAGATGAATGAAGGAGAAGAATAGCATGCAAGAACAACAGGGGGGGGTTGTTTAACAGTAGTTCGAGAAATAGAAACGCATGTCGCTGGAAACTTTTAGCAGGATTATATATCCACCTGGCGATTACATCATACCTTCCTCTTATGAGTAGATTTGAGTAGCAAAGCTGAGCGTATGGCACTCAAGGTTTCTTATATTCAACTGCAGTAACAGAAAAGATAAGCTCGTATCATACATATCCAATAAGATAAAATAAAAATGAAAACAAAAATTAAGCTTGCATTATTGTACAAAGAAATGTCTTAAGAAAATATCTTCTGACCGCACCTAGCATGATCATTCGAAAAAAGAAACGAAAGAAAAAGAACTCTTATTACTTTAGAAGACTCTTATGATCATATTTTAGTCGAAGTGTCTTCACAGTGACAAGGCCAAGCATTATCCAGAAAGAGACAAAATGAAGACAATCTCAAAAGTGATCCGCATCAAACTTTTGCTTATTTCAATTTACACCACAAGTACACAAAACAGTAGGAGTTCATCTCAAAACACGAGAAAGCATCCTCAATCATTTCGCCGACACTATCAAGACTGTTCCCATTTGGCAGAGGGAAGGAGAATGAGCTTAAAAGAGAATATCAAATATGCTATATAATGATCACAAAGTCCAAAAGTATTCTCTAGATGTATTCATCAAGTCAAACTTAATATATCAGGGATTAAAAATGCAGCCTATGAGTTGGCACTCCGTCCTGCATCATTTAGGTGCAGGTTTCAATTCCATCAAAGATTCACGGGCCTATATCCACCTCAAGAAGTTTTTAAAAAAAGCATAAATGAAAAAATTAATAAATCATAATGGAGTTGTATTAGAGATTCTTATGCCAGTAGGAAATAAAGAGAACTTCTAGCACTTTCCCCCCTTTTTTGTATTTTGTTTAATGCTGGCGGGAGATGAATTTAAATGGGGAACATGATCAGCCGGGATTCATATATCCGACCCCAATTTATTAGGGGCTGAGGATTAGTTGTTGTTGTAATAAATCATAACAGGTATGTGCTTCAGTTGGTGACCCTACCATATTCTGTCCTGTCTCATGAAAAGCTTAAAGGACCATCGATTTCAAATTGCCTCTTGCATTTTCATCAACAGGACAAGTAGTCAAAGAACAGACTATAAGGAAGGGTAAGACCATGGTAACAAAAGAAAACTTTGGCATATCCATTTCTAAGTGTGCAGACGAACACATCATATGGTTATCCAATGTAACTATATGAAACTTTATTTGAAAAAAAAAATGAAACTTGAGCTTATTCCCAGAACCCACGGTGTGGGATAATACTGGGTATGTTGTTGTTGTTGTTGAAACTTGAGCTTATTCTACATTCATCCGTCAAATTAACTCTTTAAAAAAACTCAGACAACTAGTTAATGGTTATATTAGCTTAAAATGATAAATATCCATCAAGAACTCTTCTTGGAAAAACGAATTAGCAAGTGTATATCAATTAGCACCAAAATTCTCCATGATTCCACCTTCAGAGAAAGTACATGGGAAAACAAGGATGTTTAAGCATCCAATACATGTTTCATAGAGACACAAATCCACTATGCAGACACAGTTAACTTTTGTTTCAAAGCAGAATCTTTTTTCTGTAGTTTTCTTCATTGCAAGAACAGTGAAGAGGCTATATAATTGATAAGATTATAGTAATTTTGACATCATGCAGAGGAGATAGCTGATAAAAAGAGTGGAGGCTTACCACCACTGCCATTCCAGTATCTGCAAATCCGGGAATGCAAATAAGCCTTACCATCTGCCCTTCTGATCCTACACACAGTAGTAATGATCACATACTTCTCTAGAATAACAATTCAAAAATTCAGTAACATACCTTTTATCAAGCGAGTTTCAAATTTATCTTGATTGCCCACAAAATAAACATGAGGACAGGTTTCAACATAGAAAGGATCCTTATCAGTGAAAGGATAGCACCCTGCAAATGTAATTGTATGAATATGCTAACTTAGCTGGAAGAAATATATGCAGTCAAAGTTTGCAAACTCTTCAAAGAACAGAAAAGGTAATTATCTCAACTCTTTCTTTTCCAAGATCATATAGTTTGTCTCATCAAAATGATTTTTTGTGATCTAAAAGCATGAGCATACTTGAAGTAAGAGTATCTGGTTTGGCTTTCTGATGTCATGTACTTTTGTACCATCTTGGTACTATTTTAATAAGACTTTTACCATTTCAAAAAACAAAGCATGAATTTGTGAATCCAAAGAATAAACTGAGCAGAGTAGAAAACTTTAGGCATGGAAACCACAATCATAAGAACTTGCAAGCGTAGCAAGGCATAAAGTTTTGACCAAGGGTGTTTGGTGCTGTTGGTGCTAGATGTCTCCACCTCAATGTCCTCTCCATAAATTCAATACTACTGTTTGCCTCAGAATACTTGCCAAGATCATCAATATTTTGACCAGATGTACCTACGAACCTGAAGATCATGCAATAACCATGTGAACAACGAAACAAATTTCTACAAAATAACTATATCTACTACTGAATCTTACCTGATGTTGTCAAGTTCAAAGCAATGTGGATTTGTGCAAGATCTGAAAGTGTTATACGCTGATGATCCAGGGAACAGGCATCTATGGAGAGGCTAAAATTCACAGATGACCACAGAAAACCAATTAAACCTCTAAAATCTAAAGACAATGCTCCAACTGGTAGTATTCAAACATATGCTAAAAGCAAGAGGGGACCTGCTGTGGCAGGGCGAAATTTGCTGGATCACTGGACCCTGGCATGATATCCAAAGGTATACTTGCTGCAATCTGGAAAAGGAGAAAATCAAATTCTGAACTCATAGTGTACGGTTTACAGAAATATGTTGGCTTCAATTTAGGATTAGAGGACCTGCGTCAACAAAATATCAAGCTCTTTAATTGGCTCAAACAATCTAGACTGGTCCTTTGAACCCAGATTCTGCAACACAATCAAGTTCTGTTGTTAGTCGTCATTAATGGAGATGGAAACTAGTCCTTCCCAGTTCCGAGTAAAATCAAATGAAAGTATTTGCAGCACATGGAAAAAGAATTTAATTTTATTATAATTTTTTAGGGGAAGAACGGAGCAAAAACTTAATTAACTGAAGACATGAGTTCACTGAAATGAGCCTGTACAAATTAAATACTATTATCTTGACTCTTTTGAGTAACCAACTAGTTTTACATTACTGTCAAAAGTTCAAAAAAATTCAAGATCCAAAAGCTGCTAAGTTAATAACCGTAATTGTGTATTCAAAATGACTAAATATTATTGGAGCATTTCTAACTTTTTTTAAGTGACTATAATATTCTCCTTCACCATATAATATCTTAAGCTAGATAATAATGTGTCTGAATAGCTGAATTAAAGTCTTACATCTATTTTTAATCATTAGAGAAGAAAGCGGAATTTATTTTCAAGGACTGAGGGTGTTCAACAGGGCATTACTAGGTAAATCGACTTGAGAAAGTGGAGGAGCAAGCATTACGGAGAAGAGTTATCATAGAAAAATATGGCACTCAAAGAGAAAATAGGAATACAACCCAGTTTACCCTGCCATACAAGGTAGCTCCTTTCAAAAAGCATTATGAAAGCGTGGGAGAAGTTTTGTAGTCATATACAAATTAGTGTGAGTCAGTTTTTCGAATTAGAGATGGTGCCGTCACATACCTTTGTGTAATGGTTTTGAGTCTGTTAGAATTTCTTATCAGCAAAGGAAGAAGAATGGGAGTTCTGAGTTCTATTGAATCTACAGTTCAGGTGTCTGTTAGGAGAAACCTGCCAGATAGAGGTCCAAAAACAACAATCTTCTCGGGTTATTGCATAAATAGAAGATCACACTAATGGATGAAGAACTTGGAAGTGGGAGGGACAAAGGAAATGATTGTCTACTTGGATCATTTACAGTAGACTGTTGTGAAGGGAGGATATGAGTTCCCTTATTCATCAGTACGATCCCCAGTAAGTCATAAAAAAACAGTAACAACTCCCAGTGCTCCGAAAGGTGTGTTTCTTCATATTAATGGCATATGGGAAGCATTTTACATGATTAGGAATCTGAGGAAAAGTAGGAAATCTACATTCGTTGATTATTACGTGCAAGCCTACCGGAGATGACGTTAACCATTTATTGTTCCACTACATTGGTTATGTTGCGTTTTAAAGAATATCTTATGGATTAATTGGGTGATGCCAGGCTCAATCAAGGATATGTTGGAATTTAGAAAGAGGCAGAGAAGTAGATATGGGATGTCACTTTTCGCGCTTATGTGGACATATGTAAGGAGTGGAACATGGGGGCATTTGAGGCATGTAGAAGAGTTTATTGTTCAAATTAGAGGATTTTTCTTTTGTTTTCTGTATACTACTGGAGCAGCTGTGACAATCCAGTCAGAATTGATGATTAATTGCTACTTTGTAGAGAACCATGCTTTGTGTACATCTTCTACGGAGATTTCTCATCTAATCGATAAAAATTATTACTTTGTCCAAAAGAAATATTTCTGTAATTTAAACATCATTCAGAGCCACAATAAAATTTATTACTTCATCAAACAGAAAAAATCCGTAATTTAAATATCATTCTCAGAGCCACATAAGATAAACTAGTATCAGACCATTACTTCCAAATTACACTATGAATTGCAAGAATACAGTCCAAATTACACTATGAATTGCAAGAATACAGGTATAGATCAACAAAAAGAAATAATCAGTAGTCACTTGTAGTACATGCAACATATGTCTCATCATATTGCAAAGATATCATTCAATCAAGAAAAAACACTATGAAACATAAAGTCAGCAAGATGGCTTCTAACAACTAACATAACATCAAAGGCACAGAAATCACAGCAATTCAACGTGTCAAAGACTTGGCAATAAAGATCTCATTTGCTAACAGAAAACTTGTAGATCAGTGTTTCCAATAAATTGATTTGGATTAAGGATACAAATAAGTCAATCAATCAACAAAGCCTCAATCCCAAACTAATTGGGATCAACTATGTGAATCCTCTGGAACCATTTTTTGGTCCATATAGGCTCAATTCATTCCAGAACTAAATAATTTTCTTTTAAATAAGAATTAGGATTCTCTAAACAAGAGGCTCTCAAAATTTCACCTATCCCTACATTGACATAGAGGTCTCTAACTAAAACAAAAAGACTGGCAAAAACCGATCTAATGTAAGTGCAAAAACAAGAAGTCTTAACACTAACTAGTTGGATAGGTACTCTGTTGTGTTGTTAATGGACTTCATTTTTTTTTAAATAAGCAACAGATACTTCTTAATCTAGCACTTATTATCACAAAGCATTTGACGCATTAAAACAAACAATTTCTTAAACATGTTTCTTGGACTTTAATCTACATCTGAAACAGCAAAATGAACATCCAATTTCTATCGACAAGTTTAATGCCAGAGAGAAGTGTTAGCAATTCTAGCATGCGACTCGAAAAAATCCTCTCCAATGATGAGAAGTAGCATTAATTTGACGTACACAAGGGAAAAGATACTGGATGGAGAAGAGATTGAAACACAAGTTTGCTTTAAGGACAAAAGTGAAGATTAGTACCTGTCCATTGAGAAGTCCATGAGGTACTTCAACAGAGTTTCCAGCAATAACAACTTGAACTATTTGAGCTGCAATATTTTGTTCCTTTTCAAGTGATACATTTCAGGATAGCATAACATTAGCCAGATTGTCATGTGTCAAATACTTATAAATAGAAAGTTAAGAAAAGAATACTATTGAACCTTTGCGTCTCCTAAATGTCCAGTGATGTGATCAACAAAAAGTTGAAATTGGAGAGGACTAGAAGAGCTTTTCCCAACACTCAAACCAGATATGAAAACCACATATTTATCTTCACCTGTTTACATGCAACAAAAGATGTCTGATTATATCCCAGGAAAAGAAAAAGAACTGCAACAAAGTAGTATTTCCTTTAGTTGAAGTGAACATATAGAATTTGACACTTTCCTAGAGTCTAACAACTTTTACTTATAAAAAGATTTTCATATTCAAATGATTATGCTATTCTTCTGAGCTTCAAAATTCACAGTCACAGGCTGATGAAAATCAGAAATGGGGCCGCAAATAGATAAGAGAAAATATTGATGTTATCTAAGACAGATAGTTTTGTTATCAGGATTCTCAATTGAGCCAGCAATGGGATGAAATATCTAACACAATAGAGAAAGGTGATTGAGTAATAAGGTTTAACGACCCGGCTGGTTGTTTCATGAGTTACCGCTCCGTTTTCCCCCATTTCTGCTTCTTTATGCTTTGTTCATCTGTGTTATATGGTATCGGGTTAGTCGGTTCGAATCCTGAATGGTTTTGGAAAGGGTTTGAGACACTTAGTCTCTTAAGTTGGTCTTTTAGTTGGAAAAAGTCAACCGGGAGTTGGCTTGTGAGCAATCGATCTCGGAATTTGGTTTTTATGATTCGGATAGTTTCAGGAGGTGATTTGGGACTTAGGAGCGTGATCGGAATGAGTTTTGGACGTCCGGAGTAGATTTAGGCTTGAATTCGCGAATTTTGGCGTTTTCCTGTTGGTAGCGGAGATTTTGATATAGGGGTCGGAATGGAATTCCGGAAGTTGGAGTAGGTCCGTGGTGTCATTTGTGACGTGTGTGCAGAATTTCAGGTCATTCGGGCGAGGTTTGATAAACTTTTTGATCAAAAGTGGAATTCGGAAGTTTTTGGAGTTCTTAGGCTTGAATCCATGGTTAATTTGATGTTCCGGTGTTGTTTTAGGTGTTTCGAAGATTAGTATAAGTTTGGATGGTGGTATATGACTTGTCCATACTTTTGGTTGAGGTCCCGGGGGCCTCGGGGTGATTTCGGATGGTTGACGGGAGGTTTGGAGTTAGGAATTTGCAGCTGAAGTGCTGAAGCTCCTATCATAACCGCACCTGCGGCTTGGGGACCGCAGGTGCGGGCTCGCAGAAGCGCCCAGAGGGTCGCAGATGCGGAAATGGGCATGGGGAGCTGGAACCGCAGATGCGGTTGTTCGAGCGCACCTGCGATAGCGCAGGTGCGATGTTTGAGCGCAGGTGCGAGATGGCAAGATAAGTGATTTTTCGCAGGTGCGCAACTGGGACCGCAGGTGAATGATTTTGTACTGCAGAAGCGGTTTAGCTGGGGCAGAACATATATATTTGGCCCTTCGCGATTTTCAGCTCTTCTTCACCATTTTAAATCGATTTTGGAGCTTTTTGGGAGATTTTGAAGAGGGAATTCAAGGGAACTTCGTTGAGGTAAGATTTTTGAACATAAAACTCGTTTCTATGGTGTTATTTCACGGATTAAGCTTGTAATTAATGGAAATTAGTGGTTGAAATTGAAGAAAACTAGGGCTTGAAATTGGAGACCTAAAATTAGGGATTTGAGGGGTCATTCGTGGTTGGATTTTGGTAAATTTGGTATGTATGAACTCGTGAGAGGATAAGGATTCCATTGATGTTAATTTTGTCAGATTCCGAGACGTGGGCCCATGGGTCGGGTTTGGCCAATTTCGGGTTTCTTGATGCAATTTGATTATTTTCGCATGGGCTTCGTTCCCTTAGCATATTCTAATGTTATGATACTGATTTTGGGTAGATTCGACGCGAGTTGAGGCCGATTCGAGAGGCAAGGGCATCGCGGGCTAGAGTTTGGACCGGATTGAGGTAAGTAATGATTGTAAATGTTTTCTTGAGGGTATGAAACCCCGTATTTCACATCGTTGTGCTATTTTGAGGTGACGCACACGCTAGATGACGAGCGTGGGGTCGTGCACCGTTGGGAATTGTGACTTGGTCCGTCCCATATGAATATTAAGTCGCGTATTTACTTGAAAACTATTTGATATTGTTATATTATGGAAAGTATTATTGTGTTTAGGCTAAATGTCGTGTCTGGGCCTTGTGCCGATTGTTTGGACCCTTAGGGGCTTTTACTACTGACTTCCTCACTGTTTTTGGTTTGATATTTACACTCAGTCTTGCTATGTTCTTACTGTTTTCATAACTCGATTTTATTCACTCCTCTTGATTTCAAAAATGATATTTTCAGCCGAGTACTTGTTTTACTGTCAGCCCGAGGGGCTTGAGTGAGTTTTGACTGAGTGAGACCGAGGGCCTGTGTTGTGAGGATGTTATGGGGTCGGGCTGCGCGCCGCAGCATGTGGTACTGATTTGTGATCTTTGAGAGGCCGAGGGCCTGATTTATTATGCCACGAGGTGGCTTGTGATTGTTATGAGGCCGAGGGCCTGTTTGATTATGCCGCGGATGGCTTGTTATTGCACTTGGGCCGTAGGAGCCCCTCCAGGAGTCTGTACACCCCCAGTGAGCGCGGGTACCCAGTGTGAGATGTGATATTGCCCGAGGGGCTGTTGTTGTTTCATGTTATTGCCCGAGGGGCTGATACGAGTGATTGTGAGATAGCCCGAAGGGCTGGTTCTATTGATATTTTGCCCGAGGGGCGGTTATGGTACATGTTTTGCCCGAGGGGCTATTTTACGTTTCTATCCTTTTACTCACTGCTTTCATCACTCGTTTGAAACTATTGAAAAGTGTTTTAAAAGGGTTTTACTGAACTGAGATGTTTTTACGAGTTTTACTGCTTTACTACATTGTTCTGGACTTATACTATTTTGTTGTAGCATTATGCTGTGGTTTACGTGTTTTCTTACTGCTCAGTTGCCTTTACTTTTATTACTTACTGAGTTGGCGTACTCACATTACTCCTTGTACCTTGTGTGCAGATCCAGGAGTCTCGGGTCACGCTAGCGAGTGCTGATTTGTCTTCCAGCAGGCTTTCGGAGTTGACTAGGTAGCTGCTTGGCGTTCGCAGCCAGTGCTTCTCCTTCCTATCTTTATTCCGCTTTGTATTAGTTTGTTTCAGACTATGTTGTCTTTTTTTTCTAGACGAGTTGTAGTTGCTCATGACTGGTGACACCCCGATGTCGGGCTGTGTTTTGTTTCCGCATTGTTCTATGCTATCATACATTTCTGGTTTTCAGCTTATTAATGACTTTTAAATGACTTATTATAATTGTTGGATTGGTTCCGGGGTTTGTGTCGGCTGGCTAGTTTCATGATAGGCGTCATCACGACCGAGTCCGTTTTAGGGTCGTGACAAGTTGGTATCAGAGCCTAGGTTACATAGGTCTCACGAGTCATGAGCAAGTTTAGTAGAGTCTCGTGGATCGGTACGGTGTCGTCTGTATTTATCCTCGGGAGGCTGCAGAACCTTTAGGAAAACTTCATATTCTTGAATTCCTGTCGTGCGAATCTTTTGATTCTAGTACTAAACTTCTGTCATTCTATTCTCTCATAGATGGTGAGGACACGCGCTACCGGTCAGGATGGACGACCACCAGTACCACCAGCTGGGGCCACTAGAGGCCGAGGACGCGGTCGAGGCCGTGGTAGGGGCAGGGGTGTAGCCCGCACAGCAGCTACGGCAGCACCTGCAGACCCACCGTCAGCCCCAGTTCAGGATCAGATCCCAGTTGTGGACGCTCCAGCAGCACTAGCTCAGGCATCGGCTGTGCCTATTGTCATTCCGGGTCTTCAGGAGACCTTGGCTCAGATCTTGACCGTGTGCACTAGTCTCGCTCAGGCGGTCGCAGTTTCTACTACCGCAGCCACTTCTCAGGCCAGGGGAGGCACTCAGACTCCCGCCGCCTGCACACTCGAGCAGGCTGATCAGGGATTGCAGACACCGGAGGCACCAACAGCCGAGCCGGTGGCAACTGCTCAGGGTTATGTAGCTCTAGTTATGCCAGAGGACGAGCAGCGCAGATTTGAGAGGTTTGGTAGACTTCAGCCTCCGACTTTCAGTGGTGCAGAGGGCGAGGATGCCCAGGGTTTCTTGGACAGGTGTCAGAGGATTCTTCGCACCGCGGGTATTCTGGAGACCAGCGGGGTCGCATTTACTACTTTTCAGTTTACTGGAGCTGCCTTCACTTGGTGGGAGCCTTATGAGAGGTGTAGGCCTGGTGGTGCGGCGCCCCTTACCTGGCAGCAGTTCTCCGCTCTCTTTTTGGAGAAGTATGTGCCACAGTCCCGTAGGGAGGAACTGCGCAGGCAGTTCGAGCAGTTGCGACAGGGAGATATGACTGTGACGCAGTATGAGATAAGGTTCTCAGAGTTAGCTCGTCATGCTATTTGGTTGGTCTATACGGAAAGAGAGAGGATCAGGAGGTTCGTGGATGGACTCACATATCAGCTTCGGATTCTCATGGCTAGGGAGAGGGTGTCAGGTGCTACTTTTGAGGAGGTAGTTGATATCGCTCGCGAGATTGATTCATTTCGTCGCCAGGAGCGAGAGGAGAGGGAGGCCAAGAGGCCTCGGCGATCTGGTAGTTTTGGGGGTTCTCCTTCGAGAGGTCAGTTTCAGCACGGCAGAGGCCGCCCATTCAGGCATGCTCAGTCAGCTCGCCCAGGTTATCGTGGGGCATCATCGGGCCATGGTTCTCACAGTTCTCAGCAGGGTCATTCCTCACTCAGTGCCCTTCCAGCCCAGAGTTCGTCCTGTGCTCCATCAGTTCAGGGCTCTTCTATGCCAGGTACATCTGCTAGTCATTCTGGTGCTAGGGGTTCCCTTAATCCCCGTCTCCAGCACCAGGGAGTTGTTATGAGTGGGGGGAGTTGGGACATATGTGAAGGCAGTGTCCTCGTCGTCTTGGGGGTTCATCTCAACAGAGGAGTCAGCCATCGACTTCAGCACCAGTTACTTCACCACCCACCCACCCAGCTAGGGGTGGAGGACAGTCATCTAGGGGTCGCCCAAGAGGGGGAGGTCGATCAGGTGGTGGTCAGGCTCGTTTCTATGCACTCCCAGCTAGACCTGATGCTATTGCTTCAGATGCGGTGATT